GCTCCTGCTCTCCGATGATGCTGGTCACAGATGCTGGTGAAACGTAGGAAACAAAACTCCAGAACACGGCCACACAGCCCGGAAGACCCACACCAGCCATTGTATTCTGGTCGTGAAAGCCTTCGACAATACATTGTTTTTATTACTGTTTTGTTTTGCAAAACCACCTTGAGAGATTTTTATTTTAAAAGGCAGGATACAAGTGATGAAATAAATAGATGTTACTTACAGATTGAATTTCCTTCAAAGAATATATCCCCCTTCCCTTTTCTCGGTTCTATGAGATGAATTAGGGTGGGTGACTGATACAAGGTCATCCAGTGAGTTTTAGGGATGAATGATATTGAACCTATATCTCATCTTTGGCTGCTTCCAGATGTGGTCCTTTACTGCGAAATTGCCACGGGGAGGAGGAAAGTGAGTTATATGAGATGAACATCCATTATAATCCTCGCATTTTCCCTGTTTTGCTTTTGTCTTTTTTTAACTTCAAGGTCTGACTTTTTTTGTGAAGGAAAAAAGGCTAATGTGCTCACTAAAGGATAGATGTCCAAAGTCCCATTTATCTCTCATTTTAAAAAGTTTTTCAAAAAACTGAAAACAGCTCTATATCTCATGATACCACTTAAATGAGTGTTACACATTTTACAACTTTAACAATTAAATGCTTTTTCCATTCCCTACCATTTCAGTGATTGCACCAGATCTCATATCTTCTTCTTTTTTTTTTTTGCACCTCACCAGTTCTTGTTTCCTTGCTTTTGTTTTCTGTAATGTCCAATGTTTTGTTTGAATTGTGCCTTAATAAATTAGGTTCAGCCATTAATGTGAAACTAGACAAAAGAGTATATTACAGAAGGAATGTCCCCTATGTGCACAAGTGTGGGCTTGTGAATTAGACTTCTGTTTTCTTCTCTAACAAAAAAAAATGCATCTTATTTTTGAGAATGAAGGAGGTGGTGTTGGCCTCTCCACCAGAATGAATGACAGAAGAAGTTTTGATACAAAATATACTTCAAAAACATTCTGAGATCTGTGCAGAATCAAGAAATATAAAACAGGATTATTCAGTCGTAGTCATTAGCCAGGGCAGCAATATAGAAGTTTCTCTGTTGCCCTGCTCTGAATACCAATAGTTATTTTCATGTCTAGCCATGTTAGTTTCTCTGGAGTATCTGTCTGGTTATTGTTTGAAGTAATATACTAGATTAGATGGATCTGTGGTCTCATCTACTAAAGCTGCTCTTGTGTTCTTAGAAAACCCTTTACATCATTAGGTTAGGCTTTCTTTGTAATTAAGTGGGAATCACATAAAATATAGGTATGGTTTTATCACACTTGAATACAATGATATGGAAACTCTTTTTGCTTTTGCCGCTTCTCACTGTCTCTGGAATCAGAGCTATGCAAAGTCTTTTAAGAAATGGGACACAGAGAGAAAGAAATAGAAAGGTTTGGCAATCCACACCTGCAGCTTCTATTTCATGTTCTGTATCTCTCATTTTATAAAATGATAACACAGATAGTGCATAAATTAATGTGTACATCATGATCCAACTTGACTGGTTGGCCACGATAGGTAGGGTTCTCCATGAGTCCTTTGGGGTACAGCTTCAAGTTGCTTCCATGATCCAAAGTTTAATGATGACAGGCAAGTTTTCTTGGGGTGCACTTTGTTCCACTGCTGGATGGCCCCATTGTTTCCCTACCACTGAAGAGCTTGGTTAAAGGTTACAGTACTTTATGGCCTTACCCTAAGGACGTGCAACACTAAGCTTATAATTTTGCTAGCAAATATAATGCAGAAGGGACAGAATGCCAGAAATATAACTCACTAAATGGGCCCATCTTTTTCAGCTTGTCTTCAATCATTCCAGCAAGCTTGGCTGCTGTAAGCCAAGGCATCGTCATTCTTGGCTCCAAAACACTGGTTCTGTTCTTCCTTATCCTCCCCCCCCCCCCACTCGCCTACATGCTTTAAAGGAACGGAGGAAACAAAGCA